TTCCATGGCTCTATACTAACTGATCAAACAATTGGTTGAAAACCGCATGTAGACAACCCAAAAAATGGCCGCGACGACACTTCCGGTTTGGCGTGCGTGCGTCTTGACGTCACTCTCTCTAACGCGTTTCGTCAGTTCCGGACTTTGTCTGAAGGGATCCCTTTTCATTTTATACACCGTATTTAAGCCCAAACTCCACAGCAACAACCACATAGCTCTGTATAAAAGGTATGTCACATCAACGACATACAAAATATATTGCTGCGTCTTGGCAGTGGTACAGGGACTTCCCGTCCCATGCACAGAACAAAACTCTGGTTTTTTGGTCTTGTTCACCCATTCACTGGAAGTCTTGTATTTTTATGAACGAATACAAGGTTTTCTCTGATTGGGTGAGGAGGAGATCGTAACATCGTCCGCCCACATTTCCACCTCAGTCAAACATTGGAAACAGAGGAAACATTGTATTCTTTAATAAAAAATACAGGTAAAGGCTGTAAATTAATTCCTACTTGATTTTGTTCTGGGAACAGAATGGGAAGCCCTTGTAGTGCTGCCAGAAAACAGCGCTGTATATTATACGTATTTATTTATTGCAGGTATTTATATAGCGCTGACAATTTACGCAGCACTTTACATATATATGTTGTATATTAACATCAGTCTCTGCCCTCAAGGTGCATACAGTCTAAGGTCCCTAATTCAGATTCATACATACACATACTAGGTACAATTTAGACAGGAGCCAATTAACCTACCAGCATGTCTTTGGAGTGTGGGAGGAAACCAGAGTACCTGGAGGAAACCCACGCTGGTACAAGGAGAACATGCAAACCTGCAGTTATTTTGTTATAGTTTATACATTGCTGAAAGCCGCTGCATCATTTAGTAAAAGTAAATAGTTTGTTTGGATCAGTTTGGTCCAAACAGATTATTTAAAGTCATAGTATTACTTGTAGTCCTGCAATTGAGGCTTCAACAGACCAAACAGGGGGAAATAATAGAATTGCAATGTTAGGGTTTACATACACTTTAAACAATCCCAATAAAATAAATAAAACAAGAGCCATCTTGACATAACCTTATGCTTGTGCTTACGTACATGAGTGCCTGTGAAATGGCACAAATATACTGACACAGCAGAAAATTAATTACATGGACTCAAATTAAGAAACCAAATACAGATAGATCAGTGCTATATATTCACTATATATACTGTATATATATATATACACATACACAATATTTATGGATCTATCCATGAAAATATTCCATTGATGTGTAGTTCTACAATGAGAGCAATCCTTTATATCAAACAGTATGATGCACAAAATGCATACAGACTGCATGTATAAACCTAGGTGAAAATAAATCATTGAAAATCAATGCCTTCAATACCGTACAAGACCTTTTTTCAAAATGGACTGTGTTTAGCTAATCGTTCAGTGTCATCCTATGTATTTATTAATTTGCTATAGACAAGCGGTTTTAATGAACTAGCGTACTTTTTACATGTGCCTCTTGCAAATGGCTTAATTCTCATCGATCTCACCTTGATTGCAGGAGTATGTCGAAGAACAAATGTAGCATAGGAACAGAAAAAAATAGGATATAATAAATCAGACAAGATAGGACAGCCAATGGATTTATAACTCAATATCTACCTGAGTGTAGTTGACCTTTTGCATGGTTCAGTCATTTTAAGCCCGGCTAGATGGTCTACATATAAATCATAAAAACATAGAAAACAAAAATCTATGCAACCTTTATAGAATAGTAAAAAAAAAACAACTATATTCAGGCTTTGCAGATCATTACTGGCTTCAATTTCTGGTATTGTTTTTTCACCATGACAAAACAGCCTGGAAACATTTGCTTATTATATAAAACTGCAAATTATATTCAGATTTAAAGTGAATATAAATCCATCCTTTGTTGCAGGAGGTAATACATTTAAAGGATAAGGTCACCTTTAAAAAAAAATAATAAATGCACATCTTTTTGCAAGTAAAAAAAATGTAAATGTATTATTTTTTACTTGGAGCTTAGAAAACATTGCACCCACAATCAGCAGATAGTGGGTGCCAAGTAGGACTCCTACATGTATGAGGTACTAGCAGGCAGATGCACACTAACAGGAAGAGACAATGAAATACCGTAGTGCTCAACAGTAGTTCATTGAGAGCTATTAGTCAACAGCCACAAAGGCTGTCAGTACTTGTAGTTTTCCATTCACAGAATTCTGTGAAGGAATGACGCAGAGATGTGTGTGGAGAAGATCCCCCGCTAGCTGTCACTAGATGCAGCGGTTCTGGGAGTGGGAACATGTTACATGTTCCACTCTAAAAGCGGGTGGAACATGAAACATATTCCCAAAGGTGAACTTATCCTTTAAAAAACAATGTTGTCTCTATAAGAGCATAAATATAAACAATAATGATGTTACAGCACTCAGTATTCGTTAGTAGCAATGTTGTTACAGCAATTCCAAAAGACAACAGTTTTGGATCACTTCATTTGATCCTTCCTAAGGCCATTAGTAAGATTTCAACATTAGACCAAATCACTAGGTTAAAAATAACCACCAACCAGAAATGACATCTCATTTACTAATGTTTTAGCCTTCAATACTTTGCGACAATTTACCCAATAGTCAAAGGGGTTGATTTACTAAAGGCAAATACACTGTTCACTGTGCAAGTGTAGTTTCACTCTGCAAGGGAATTTTCCCCAGAGCTTAGTGAATATTGGTGAAGCTTCACTTTGCAAAGATTACCCAATCACATGCAAGGAAATTAAAAAAAAAAAATAAAAAAAAAACTACACATGACTGGATGATGGAAGTCAGCAGTGCTTCATCTTGTTCATTAAACGTTTGGTAATCCCCTTGCATTGTGCAACGGCACATGCAAAGTGAACAGATTATTTGTTTATAGTAAATCTACCCCACAGAGAAGCATACAGGTAGAACACTCTTTATGAACCTCAACTGGCACATAAACCTGTAATAAAATCACAAATATACATCATTAACTCCTACTCTAACCTCAGAAAAATAAATGTAGATCAAAGTCCACTTTGAGGCTAACTACTGTATATGCAACAAGTTAAAAATTGTATTACCTTTAACTACCCAGTTTCTTAACTGCTTACTGACCTCCCTATAGTAGAACTACTGCTTCAGGGTGGCAGGTCTGTGTAAAATCACGTATATATATATATATGCAATTTTGTATTCACAGGTAGGGGACGCACGTGCCCTGCCCATGCCGCCATTGGCGGTTACAGCTGTTGATCACCGGGTCCCAGCCGGAGATTCCCTGCCAGCACCCGGCAATTGCCGAGTATCATTGACAGGAGAGAGGTCTGTATGTAAACAATACAGATCTCTCCCCTGTCAGCTCCAGCATGCTGCTTTGTATTGCTCTGAATAGCAGAGAAATACAAAACAGCATGCCTCCCTTGTAAAACACAGCACACAGTAAAACATACAAGCACACAGTTAACCCTTTAATCACCCCAGATGTTAACCTCTTCCTGCCCAGTGTCATTAGTACAGTGTCAGTGCTTTTTATTATCACTGATCACTGTATTAGTCACACTGGGGATGTTAGTGGCAGTTAGTCAGTTCCCCCCCAGTGTCAGAATGCCCACCGTAGTCCTGATATAAGTCACTGATCGCCGCCATTAGTAGTATAGAAAAAAAAATTCCAGTATATATACCACCATTTGTAAACTCTATAACGTTCATGTAAACCAATTAATTTACACGTATTGGGATTTTTTGTTAGCAAAGACATGTAATAGAATACATTTTGGCCTACATTTATGATGAAATTTTACTTTTTTAATTTTTTTTACTGGATATGTTTTATAGCAAAAAGTCAAAAATATTGTTTTTTTTTTTTAAATTGTAGGTCTTTTTTTTGTTTATAGCGCAAAAAATAAAAAAACACAGAGGTGATCAAATACCACCAAAAGAAAGCTCCATTTGTGGTAAAAAAGGACATAAATTTCATTTGGGTTCAGCGTTGAATGACCGCGCAATTGTCAGTTAAAGTAACGCAGCGCCGTATCGCAAAAAATGGCCTGGTCAGAAAGGGGAGTAAATCTTCTGCAGGGCAAGTGGTTAATACTAGTTCCTGGTTGCCCCTCTCATTAGCTTTACAATAAATCTATAGCAATAAATCACAATTGTGATTCCGTATGTCCTTTTTCCACAAAATGCCTGGCTAAAGGCAATTCCACTAATCTATCCCTGACCAAGTACTTGTGACGAGCAATCCTATATTTTAATTTTTGTGTGGTATCTCATTTATTGCAAAGACCATACGGACAGTTAATCCTATATATATAATATGAACTTTTGAAGGTTAAATGGTGCTTATTGAGAAAGGAAACCCTCTGTGAAAATTAATCATTGTGGGATATTGCATACATGACAGGCAAGCAAATGGACCAGTTTGATTAGGACCTACAAAGGTAGTCATAGATATAGGGGCAATATGTTATCTGATTTAACAAACAATGTAAATGGCATGTGCTCTTCTAAATGACTGCATAGGCATCTGTTTAAACTCCAATATGTTTGGATAATTCTTCCCCAAATCACTACAATGTTTATCATACATACAAAACTTTATTAAACAAAGTATTGAATTGGGAAATCAAAAATATCTGTTTCATACTTGTTTTCCAAATATCATACCGCTTCTACTTGACATTCTGAAATGATTCCCCTTTTTTTTCAACATACTTAATTTCTTGTGTTAGCAATATATTAGCATAACCCCACGCTTCTAGTTTCCTTTTTCATTTCTTGCAACATCATCTTATGCTTCCCTGGATCACTGACTATCCATGTCGCTATTCTAAATTGAGCCCTTGGGATGAACTTAAATGCATTCATGTGGTATGTGGTGCTCTGAAACTGCAGTAATTAATTCCTATTCACAGACTTGACATATAAACCACTTATTAACTTTCCATTCTCTATTGAAATCATTGTATTGAAAAAAAGTACTGTATTTTTCGCTCCATAAGACGCACCTAGATTTTAGAGGAGGAAAACAAGAAAAAAAATATTCTGAACCAATGAACTGCAGTACAGGAGATAGCCAGAGACTGCGGACACAGTACAGGGGATGACCAGAGACTGCGGACACAGTACAGGAGATGACCAGAGACTGCAGACAGAGTACAGGAGATGACCAGATACTGCAGACATAGTACAGGAGATGGCCAGAGACTGCGGACATGGTACAGGTGATGATGACCAGAGACTGCGGACACAGAGTACAGGATGATGACCAGAGTACAGGAGATGCGGACACAGTACAGGTGATGACCAGAGACTGACCAGTACAGGGGATACTGCAGACATAGTACAGCAGATGGCCAGAGACTGCAGACCTTTCGGGGGGGCAGGTACCCGAATTTGACAGATACCCACTTCCATGGAGTTGTCCTCCCCCTCCCTCCCTCCCCGTAGTCTTGTGGGACACGTGACAGGTCCCAGAAGACTATGGGGCCATTCACAAAGTGCAGCGCTTCTCGCGCATGTGCAATAGACACCCAGCTGTGAAGCCACAAGCTGTCACAGCTGGGTGCCCACACTGAAGATGCCGGTGCAAGGGAGAGAAGATGGCTGGTGAAATCAGGACACCACTGGACCGAGTAACATTTAGGACCGAGGAGCAGGTTCTTCTGCACAGTAGAGTCGAGCGGCCAGCCCAGTTTTCTAACACGGCGACGGGAATACTGGGCCGGCCACTTCATATTTGCTCCATAAGACGCACAGACATTTCCCCCCATTCTTTGGGGGAAAAAAGTGCATCTTATAGACTGAAAAATACGGTATTTTCTCCACAGTAAATTGTACTTTAAGCCCTGATTCACACTGATGCAGTGAGGAATTTGCAGCGATTTCAGTACAAATTCCGCACCGCATCAGAATTGCACTCTGTTCATACGAACAGCTGCAGTTGTCTCTTAAGTTAACAATACCTTGAAAGTGGTTGGCAGAATCAGATCGCATAGGTGTGAATACCTATGAGATCCAATTCTAGTGTGGACCCAATACATAATGTATGGCTCCGATTGCACTGCACACAAATCGCATGTGATTTGCACAGGAATGCGGTGCGGTGTGAACCCAGGCTAAATTGCAACCATCTACCATTAACTTAAAAAAGGACATACTGACACATCAAACACAAGTCTATTAACTGACACAAGATTTTACAGTACTTTTTTCAGCAAAGGGTGAGTATAAATGAATTCTATACACCTAAGTTATGAACATATTGGCATTGGGAGGGTTGGGGGGGGTGTTGGTGTTTGAACCCACCTCAGCTCCTCTAAGTTGCAAATTATATTCATTCTTAAAGTGTCCATAAACCTCAGATATGAACTTTGAAAAAAAAGCATATCCCTCTTTAGTGTGTACCTGTGTGAATCCAGAGCACTAAGTGTGATTTCTGACTGCTGTCTCATTGCTCTGTTTTCTGCTGTCACTTCTGACATTTTTTCCAGATGATAAGTAAAAAGGTGACAGAAAGGGAGCTCCGCACACAACCTGTGATTGACAGCCTCAACTCTGTTCCTGTGTGCTGTGTGAAGGTGGGCATGCCCCTTCTCTCCAATCAGCATCCACTGTGATTTTCAGAGTGTAACTTCATCTCCCTGCCCACTGTTTTCTAAAAAGCTCAGACAAGCTGTATAAATTCTACACCTTGAAAGGCTGTAGATAAGAGAAGTCTAGAGATAAACAGGTACAACGTATGTAGGAGGATTTGTTTGATCTTTGTGTATCATCTGATGGCAGTCACTTCACTGGGTATATGCAAGGGTTTACAACCACCTAAATCATTATAAATATTTTCCAAAGTTAATCGATGAAGAGCAATTATAAACTATACTATTTGTACTTCACAATACTATTCTGATCGATCCAGCAACCTTCTTGATACACTATTTCTTTTCTCATGGTCAGTCAAGGTATATAAACTAGATATGTTTCAGGTGTTTAAAATCACATCACTTGGATCATCAGTATTTTCTTTTTAAGAAAGTCACTTGTCTCTCTTAGGTAAGACCTACAGCCACTAGTCAATGGCACTATTATATCATAAAATCTTGCCAAAAGTGACAACATTGAACTATAGCTGTGAAGGTAGGACACCCGGTGGTTGCACCTAGGGGCGGACTGACAACTCATGGGGCCCCCAGGCAATAGGGGATCATGGGGCTCCTGTGTCCTCGTCCACACTCAAACCACACCCAAAAAAGCCTATGAAAGTTACCAGGGGCATCTCATGGGGCCCCGTACTGACCCCGGGCCCTCGGGCAGTGTTCCGAGGCCGAGTTCCCAAATGGTCAGTCCGCCCCCTGTTGCACCTGACGTGTATGCACTTAGTGAATCACATACAAAACAGGAGTAGTTGGATAGCTCATTATCAATATTTCCAGCAGTATATGCCCCATCCACTACACTTTCAATTATTTTATGTATCTGGTTGAAAGCATAGAAAGGAAGGAAGGTTGGGAGACATCACCCCTACATGCTGAGTACTAAAGTATCACCACCTGTGAGTGTTTTATGTAGCACTCTTCTGACTTTCAGCATCAGACAAGGCTGACATTTTACCTCAGGGTCCAGGTAGTTGGGCATGGTGGGTGTGGAGTGTTGCAGAAAAGATGGATGCTAGTCACTTTTAGGATAAACAAAAGTGAGTTTATTGCTCACAACAATAAAGAAAAATAGGGAAAGAGGGTTAGGGCACAGGATACCCTTGTACAGTGGGAAAGTAGACCAGCAGAATAAAGAAACAGCCAGATAGACTGTGATACAGAAGAAGGGCCTTAGGCCTGCACCCTTCGATCTGTACCCACATTGCAACAGTTGTCTCCTATGGCAACAAAAGAAAAATCACAGCACTGTCTCCAGACGACTCACAGCACTGTCTCCAGATGACTCACAGCACTGTGTCCAGATGACTGACAAGTTCTACTTTGCAGAACCTGAAACACATGGCTAGGCCCTAGGCTTAAGGCCTACCCAAAGCAGCTGTTCCTCACACATCCACACCAGACTAAGGTCTGGGTAGGAGGACCCTGATCTTCTGACCTCCAAAATATATATACTCTCCCCCAGTATTCATCAGTGGCCAAAGTAAATTCCTATTGATTGGTTGAGAGAAGTATGCATATTCATAATCCAGCTTTAATATAGCTTGTCATACTAATGGCAAAGGTAAAAGTGCCACCTACTGACAAAAGAGATAAGTTACAGCTAGGCCAGACTTAGGAGAGACTACAAATAGACTACAAATTAGCCAGGTTAAGTACAACCTAGCACAGCTAAATTTACTGGTAGCCCCTGTTTAAGACAAGTCTTAAAGTCTTGGGGTTTTGTCCCAAGATCAGACTAGACCCATTGGGGATTATTTACTAAAACTGGAGAGAGCAAAATCAGGCTTCTGAAACTTCTGAATAGAAACCAATCAGCTTCCATGTTTTATTGCCAAAGCTTTATTGAACAAGCTGAGGTTATAAGCTGATTGGCTACCATGCAGAGGTGCACCAGATTCTGAGTGCACCCATTTTAGTAAATCTACCCCATTCTGTTTCGCACATGATTTATATCCATTCTATTAGACTGAAAACACTATTTGCTACACATCCAGAGATTCAGCTGTTAGGTCCAAGTACTGTCCCATTGGGGTTTTCTACTATTGATTACTCACACATTTGTACAGGTGTACATTAAAGTCCAATTAAACTTTTAATTTAAACCAGCTAATTAAAATACAGGTGAATCATGCTCTCTGCTGAATGAAAGCTGTACATCTTACTCATTAGATTGCATGTTGAACCTTTGAAGAAAGTGCACTGTTTCTGCCCTGAGAGTATGGAATGCTGGCAGGGGACAGGCTATTTTACATAGGCTGCTTTCTTATGAAACTGAAACATAACACATTTTGTTTTGATGCACCTAAAATGTGTTTAGATTATTTAAACTGAAAGTTCAGTTGAGTTTTAAGCCAATGGTAATTATAAAGACTTTTATGCTTTGAACATTATGGAAACTTATTGTGTAATTTTTCATCATATGCCTCATTCCCTTTTTAAAGTTTTTGCTGTCCTTTGGTTTTTGCCTCTTTATTTGACAGTACATTTACTTTTGAGCTTTTATCACTTGATATCCAAGGCTGTAGCTGCTCCCTAGAACTCAACAAAATATATGATGATCCTTATGAAAAATCCCTGTAGACCAAAAATGTATTCTGTTAGGGGAGCTGCATCTGTATTTACTATCACATTTCTTCAGCTCTGCTTGGTAAGGACTGTAAATCCATTCCAGAAAGCTACATGAGACATGTCCTTATGTTGCCACTATAGGGGTGTAGAAATGCTGATGCAGTGGTGGCAAGGATCAGCGTTATCTAAATGGTTAGCACTTTCGCCTGGTAGTACTAGGGTCATTGGTTCAAATCCCAGCCATGGCACCTCCTGCCTGGAGTTTGCATGTTCTCCCTGTGCCTGTGTGGGTTTCTTCCAGGTACTTCAGTTTCCTCCCACACCACAAAGACATGCTGGTTGGTTAATTGGCTCCTGTCTAAATTGGCCCTAGTATGTATATGTATGAATGTAAGTTAGGGACCTTAGATTGTACACCCCTTGAGGGTTAGGGACTGATGTGAATGTACAATATATATGTGTAAAGTGCTGCGTAAATTGATGGCGCTATATAAGTACCTGCAATAAATAATAAATCTGTCATTTAAAACTGACATCAAGTTTTGTCAAGACTGCAGGAGGCTGCACATTGGTGGGGGACAATACCCAAAATTGTGATCACCCTGAGACCTGAGAACCCCCCAGGCATGTTTAGTATTGGAATTGATCTCATGGTCCAGGCTCTGTCCATGAAATGCCATATACTGGAAATGTGTGTGGTGGCAGACTTTGGAGGGACTTCAGAATGGAAATCAGTTTTGTCCAATATTGTAAGTTTTCCAGAACATGGTTTGAAAAACAGATTATTTTGTTAATCCATCTATTTCAATATCATGTTTCTCAATGTCAGAGAGTAATTGTTTTGTAGTTACATTTATTGTTTTTGTTATCCACCATTCAATAACATATCATAATTGCCCCCCAATCTGCTTATAGACAGTGTACTTCCTTAGGAGCTAGACAGGTTATGCTGCACAAAAGACACTCTGTTCAGCTTTATGGATGAACAGAGCTGTCATTCAGACACAGTGGAGGCACAGATATGAACAGTGTGAAAATGCACTGTATTCCATCCCTGTGCACACTAGGGAACATGCCTGCATTTTTCAGAAATAACAAGTTAATTCAGAAAAATGGAGATAGTCATTCCTGCAGCAAAACCTTTCTAACTT